TTTTATTTTTATTTTTTTTTAATTATTTATTTATTTTTATTTAATTATTTTTTCAATTATTTAATAAATTATTTATTTACATTTGTATTTATTAAAATATTTGTTTATCTATTTATTTAATTATTTTGTTAAATTTGTTGTTTAATTATTTTTTAATTAATTTTTTAATTATTTATTTAACTATTAAGGTAATTATTTTATTTCATTATTTATTTAAGTATTTATTTAATTATTTATTTAATTATTTTTAAAATTATTTAGTTAATTATTTTAAAGATTTTTGTATTATTTATTATTTTTTTAAATAATTAGTTTTTTATTTAATTAATTATCTAGTTAATTATTTGTTTAAGAATTTATTCAATTATTAATTTACTTAATTATTTAAGTATTTATTCAATTATTTATTTTATTATTTTTTCAATTATTTATGTAATTTTTTTTAAATATTTAGTTTATTATTTTAATTATATATTTAATTATTTTTTAATTATTTATTTTTTTTTATTTATTTAATTATTAATTGAATTATTTATTTTATTATATATTGAATTTATTATTATTTAATGTATTTAAATATTTATTTAATTATTTATTTAATTTTTTAATGGTTAATTTCTAAAGGTTTCTAAATTTTCTAATTTATTTTTTATCCACAAAATACCCAAGCTCTCATCTCTGGTATAAGACCTTGCCACGATTTAACCCAATGTCGATTTGCTGCTAAATTATTGCCTCTGCGACTTCTGCTGTGACTTCTCTAACCCGTAAAACTATTATTATGATCATTATGGCAGGCAACCTGCCATCGGCACTGTCACTGCCACTGAAATTGAAGGGTATCCTCCATCGTATCCCAGTAACTTTCGACACGCACTTTGACGCGCACTCCCACTCCCAACACCCAACTCCCACTGCCAGCCTCATAAATGTTTTGGCAATAAAGCCCAAGTTATGATAATGCCAATTCATGTTTAGTGTGCGGAGATATCTAAATATTTATACCGGCCGTGTTTGCATGTTGCCTGTTTTTTTGGTAACCCCAATGACGTGCAGAAAGCGTCAACACGGGAAGAGTGATAGATGGATGGATGGGGGGATGGGGGGATGGGCTGGTCTGGTCAGCAGGTGGTACATACTACAATCTTCTTCAACAACAGATAACCTCACATCATCCTTGAACTTTTCTTTGGAAAGTTTAAAGTTTATTAACAACAAAGGTCACTAGCTTTTAACCAAGTTATAACCTGGTTTCTAAACGTGCTGAAAAAGAGTTAAAAGTTAATATTTACTTAAGGTACAAAATTCCCTGTTGTTTGTCCCATTATGATTAAAATATTAGCCTGCTAATATTTGTTTCTAACTTTATTTACCACTTTTGCTTGGCCAGGAAGGCGGGGGTTTATACTACGTAACCCTTTTTGTTGAACAGTTGGCGGAACGACGACGACGACAGTGGTGGTGATGGTGGTGGTGGTGCTGACATTGGTGACACCGGCGACGGCGGCAATTAATAATACGTAATTTATGATCCGCATTCAATTCTATTTGACTTTGTGGCCCAAAAAAAAAAAAAACAACACTCAAGCCCATGCAGAAAAGGGTTAAGAGAACCGCACTTAAACGCCTTTTCTAGTGAAGCGTTACAATTTACAGCCAAAGGCAGTCAGCCGTAACCCATAACCGCTTTTAGCCAATACCCCTTAACCCTTTTCCCTTTCCATTTTCATTTCCATTTCAATATATATATATATATTTTATAGGTAACTATTCTGGCCAAGAGTGTTATCCTTATCCTCCAGGCTAATCCGGCTTTCGTGTCAAATTCTATTAGCCAAGTTACAGCCACTGCTAAACGCTTGGCTAATCGCCGGGTTTTTTGGTTAATCCCAAAACGGCAGACAAAGTTTTTATTAAATTAAAAAATGATACCTACCCACCGATAACTGGGACTTGAAAAGGCTGTGGAAATAAGGATTAAATGAAGGGTTTTGGGATGGTCTAGAGGTGAGTGGTTTTATCAGGAATTTTTTAATTTGATTAATTTTAATTCGAGTTTTATTTAGAATTTTATACTCAATAAAGGATTTATCTATCATTTAAATATTAAATTTAAAAAATATTGCTTATAGATTTAAAAATTTAAAAAATTTGTATATTACCCATTCTTGGATTATAAACTTTAAGACTATAAGATTACCAATAAATAACAATAAAACCACTAGTTTTCTTTGTGTCTATTTTGTTTTTGTACTTTTGAGAGTCATTTTGTCTTGAAGAATGAATTTTTTATCTACTATATTTAAATATTAAATTAGCAAATTTAATCTAAAATTACTTATAATTTTTCTATTATTTTTTTAACTAATTTAAAAAATTTTAAAACTTCGCAGACAAACTATTCTTATTATTATTATAATTATTTAGCAGGAATTTTAAATTTAATTTTATTATTTTATTTGATTTAATAATATTATAAATTTATTTTAAATTTTATTATTTTTTATTATTTTATTTATTAATACAAAAAAGGTAAAGTTTAGAATTTTATACCCATTAAAGTAAGTTTTTTAGCATTTAAATATTATTTTAAAAAATGAAAGAATTTTATCTACCATTTAAATATTAGATTTACAAATCTAAAATAATGATTTACTTATTATTTTTTAAGATATTTTAAACCTTTAAAAAAATCGTAGATAACCTATTTTTAAAATATATATACTATATAGAAAAATTATATGGAAAAACTATCCCAAAAACCCTTAATTATCTTTTTATATATTTTGTTTTTGTACTTCTGAGCGTCTTTTTAGCTTAAAAATCTGACCTAAAGCCCAGTCCTAATGTAAATCTTCTTTCCAAAAATATAAAAAATAAAATCTATAATATTTTATACAATATTTAATAATATTAACCCTATTCCCTGCCATACTTACTTTTGATTTCCAAACAAAAATCAAACAAAAAACCGTTTGATCCCATGAACAATAAATCGAAGGCAGACAGTAAATCCACAGCTTTTGGCATCGCCTGGCAACCACCACCACCACCCATTGGGTGGAGATGAGCAGCACTGAGTGTGTGTGTGTGTGTGTGCGAGATATGGCCAGTGAACAGTTAATTATGACACGCACTGTTTGCTTACCGCCGCCGCCGCTGTTGCTGCTATTTATTTATGCATTTTATTTAATATTCCCCAGTGGCGCTGCTCATTTAAGCGGGGGGGAAGAGCAGCGGGGATACAGCCACCAGACAGCAAACAATATAAAATCTATAAATATAAATAATATACAAAAAAAGAGGAGAACAAATAAACAGGAAAACTAATGAAACACGAAATGTTTTTGATTGCATGTTTGGGGATCCCCCCGTTCCCTTCAAATTATTTTGTTGCAAAAAAATATACAAACACTTGTAGTTGTTAATTTTTTTTTTAGTAATAATTTTTATTTAATTTCCTTTGTTTTGTTGTTGTTTAATTAATTTTATATATAATTGCAGTGACATGAGGTGTTGTTGCTTCTTCATTAATTTTATCCATATACATATACATATACATATATATTTAATAAATATATATATCATACATATATATCCATATACATATCGAATTTGTTCTTGTTTGTTGCTTGTTTGTTGCTTGTTTGTTGCTTGTTTGTTCTTGTTTTTGCTTGTTTGTTCTTGTTGTTGTTGATGTTTTTGTTGATGTTGATGTTCGGGTTCTTGTTTGTTTGCCTTTTGTTTAAATTTAATTAACTATAATTAATATTGCTTTTGCGTATAATTCATTTTCAAAAAACAGCTAAACCAACAGAAAAAAAATATATATATTTATATATTTATATATAAATTCTTATGACAATGCAGGTGTGTTGATGATGATGAAGGTGATGTTTGTGTTGTTGTTGCTTTTATGGGGTTTACAAGGAATAAAAACAAATTGCTACGGAAATTTATTTTAATTTTAATCTTTTCTTTTTTTTGTTGGTTTTTTTAAAGTGAATTTTCTTGTGTTATTTCTTCATTTTTTGTTATATTCTCATTAATTCTGCATGTCTGTGTGTGTGTGTTTGGGTGTGTGTGTGTTTGGGTGTTTGAGGGTGTGTGTGTGTGAGGGAGATGTCTGTTAGCTGCGTCTTTGTCGCTCTCTCTTAACTTATATGCGAGGAACATGCGTTGAATTCAACTTTACTTTTCTTTTCTTTTTTATTTTATTTAATTTTATTTTTTTCTGTTTCTGAAATCATTTGCTTTAACTTATGCGAGTGTAAAAAAAAAAAATGATATTTTTAACACTAAAAAAAAATTATATTTTTTTATTTTTTATATAGTATATATATATAATTATTTATAATTGTTGTATATAAACACACACAGAACTACTCGTCGTGCTTGAATTTTTAGCATCTCAGGGGTGTTTCTTTTTTTTTTTTAACGAGATTAAAATAAAAATACTAAAAAAAAAAAATATTATTTTGTTCTTTGGTTTTAGAACTTAAAATATACGAAAAAAAAATTATTTAAAAATATTTTAGGAAAAGAAAAGAGTTAAATTAGGAAAACTCAAGTTCTCAAGGTTGCATTTTCCTTCACTGGTGAGGGGTGTGTGTGTGAGTGTGTACTACATGTGTGTGTTTGTGTGTTTTGCTGAGTGTTTACGGTATTTTGGTTCTTAAAAGCTACATAAATTATTTTAAATATATATATATATATATTCCATATATTTCTATGCATATAGGTTTTTGTTTTTTTATTTACGTTTACTAAAAAAAAATGTTTCATCCACCTAAGACTAAGAAAAAAAATTGCATTTATTTTGTTTTCATTTCGTATTTGTTTTTTGTTTTTGTTTCTTTTTTTTTGCATTTATTTTTATGTTTTTTTTTGTTGTGGTGTGTGTTATATTCTTTAATTATCTTTTCTTTCCTTCCTTTCTTACTTTCTTTGCTTTTATTTTTTAATTTTTACTTTTTACTAAGGTTACATTTTCATTTTTATTTTGTTTTTAATATATATATACTTTATATATATACTATATATGTGTTCTAGTTGTATATATATATAAAGAGGCGCCATCTTTGATGTTGCAATATACATATACATATATAAAGGGGGAGGGGGGAGGTGTGTGTGTGTGGTGATATATAAAGTATATATATATATGTATATATAAATTTGTGTGAGGAAAGTTATACCCCTTTATTCCTCTTCTCAAAATCTCTGGAGAAATAAAAGTTTGTCCCGTTTGCAACTATCCCTCTCTCTTTCTTGACTTTCTTGACTTTACTGACCACTTATTTCTCTCAGTGTGGACTTGCTAAGCCTCTCTAAAGAATTCTACAAAAAAATTCCAAGTTAAAGATACTTTCTTTGACTTTCTCCACACTTAGCAAGCCTTCAAATATATATTTATATATACTACAAATGTTAATCCTTGCCTCCAGCTTCTGCTCCGCCTGGTATTTACACTCTTCACCCACTTTTTAGACGACCAACATTACAGCTTGGTGTTGATGCTCGACGAGGGGCTAGAGGCTGGGCCGCTGACCCGTTCCCGGTCAGACGTCAACATCCAAATCGAGATCGATCACCGAGCTGCGATCCTCATCGCCATCCTGATCGCCATCCTCCTGCTCATCGATGTCCTCCTCCAGCTCCAAGTCTAACTCCTGGCCACCGCCACCGCCGCCTCCATCATCGCAGTCGGAGCGGCCGTCCAGTAATTGTCACTGATCCGTACCGCCCGCCGTGGTGCCATGGTGCGGATGCGAGTGATGTGGATGTGGGTGCTGCTGGTGCTGGTGCGGATGCGTGTGCTGCTGCTGCTGCTGTTGCTGCTGCTGCTGGTGATGATGCGCCTGGGTGTGATGGTGGGCCGCCTCCTCTGCCAGCTGCAAAGCCGCCGCTGCTGCTGCTGCTGCGGCACTGCCATTATGCTGCACCTCCAGCCCATTGACCATCTTCTCCATGCTCTTTAGCTCCGACGGCGAATTCTGGGACTGGGCTGCCCCGCGCTGCTGCTGTTGCTGCTTCATCAGCGAGGGCGGCGTGGTGGGCGACATCGAAATGGGACGCGTCGGCGGCGAATGGGAGGCAGGCCTGGGCCTTGGACTAGAGCTCAAGCTCCTTGGCTCCATACCCTGCCCAGGTGGTCCACCCTCGCCCGTTCGATTGGCATTCGAGCCGGGGGTGACGGCATCAAAGGCCGAGCCCAGGCTACCCGGCAAGCTGTACGGCGAAAAGCGATGACTCTTCAGACCCTGGAGCGGTGATACCGGCGTATGTCCCGCCGCCGCATAGGCATGTCCAAACAGCGCCGGATGCTGGGCGGCCAGCGCCAGTTGGGCATTGAAAAGCAGGCCGGGATTCAGACCAGCCGGACTCATGGCGGCCGCTGCCGCCGGATTGTGCAGCAGACCAAGATGCGGCGGCGGATACAGGCCATGCGGATACAGGTAAGGCAACAGGTGCGGCGACGGGTGAATGGGCGGACCCACCGAGATATTTGGTGACGGATAGCTACCGCCACCGCCGCCGCCACCACCGGGATTCAAGCCGGCTGCTGCCGCCGCTGCAGCGGCACCCACCGCCTCCTTGGGACTGCCCGTTGAGGTGGGCCGAAAGGCACCGCCGGTGCTGCCGCCGACGCTTTCCGAGCAGCTTGAATCGCTGCCATCGCGCTCTACATCGGCATCCGCCTGGAGGCGTCTCCTTAGAGCCTCCTCCGCACTGGCATTTGCCGCTGCGGCCGCTGCATGTTCACCGGCACCGGCTCCAGCTCCGGCCAGATGATTAAACCAGGCGGCCAAGGCTGCAGGAATAAAAGAAAAATGAAAATAAAATGTAATTAGTTAAAATTTTTGATTAGAAAACCACATAAAACCCTTCTTTCCCCTTGAAAAGCTGGAAAACCGTACTCACCGGAGTGCTGGTGGGCATGCATCTGCTGCAGCGAGTGGCTAAGCGGCAGGAGCGGACTCTGTGGTGGCCCAACCACATCTAGCAGCTTGTCCTCATCATCCTGCTGGTTATCCAGCAACGCGGCATGCGGATGCAGGTGGGGCGGTCGGCCGGCATGGCCCAGGTGGAGCGGTGCCCGGGAGCTGCTCACGTGCGTCGGATTGAGCTTGTCCGAATCGGACCCTCGGTTAGACATCAGCGCCTGCCTGTAACAACAGTTGTACGAGAGGCGAGGGCCACAAATTAGAACATCCAATTGTCAGGGTGGCAAGGGGAGTATTACATATATCTCTATATAATTATATGTATACATAAGGGGGTATAAATATATCCCTATATAATTATATACTTGCTTTTTTTAGTAAGGATAATGCACACTATAGATATTTAAAAGCACACATCTGCTCATTACTTAAAATACCCAAGATAGGTTTATTGCTAGAACCCGTTGGGAATCATAAGTGCACACATGTGGAATTTATTTTAAACTTTTTATTTATCATACCTATAAAACACACATAAAACCCATCTATATATTATTTGTATAGTTTCCTACAAACACCTAATCAAGGGATTTCCTTTTCCACTGCCAAATCAATCAGCTTTCACTAGCAATTTCCACGTCAGGCCGCATTTGTTGGTCGATTTGCCAGCGGAATTTTCGTTGGGGATCAGGGCCAAGCTTTAATAATATTGTTGGTAACTGAAATATCTGCTAAATGATAAACCAGCGCTGGCGGCGGCCAGAAAGGCCGGCTGCCAGTCCTGCCCAGCACATCCACATCAACCCGGTGAACCTTAATTGAAATGTAACAATGCGAGGCGGAAACGGGGGGCAGGAGCAAGGACGACCTAGTGTATGTGGTGTGTGTGTGTGTCTGCGGCTGACAATGAAATTGAAAAATAATTCAAAACACGTTAGTGTAATTTAGTGTCTGTGCTGGCCCTGGCCTGCCCTGGCCTGCATTTTCCATTTCAATTTTCCTTATTTTTCACACATCAAAGCCGGTCGCTGCCTCGCAAATTGGGCAATTTTAGCACACACACACACACACACACATAGATTACACACGGGTGTTGTGTGTATCATTATCACAGCAACCACACCCACTGAACACCACCCAAAAAAAAAAAAAAGAAGAAACCACGGAAAATCCACCCATGGTTTGGCATTGCGCCAAGGGCGTCTTCTTTTGCACTTAACTGTTTTTCCACCTGCCCTGTTATGTGTGTGTGTGTGAGTGTGGTGTGTTCGGGCCTAATTTAATAGCAAATCAATTTGTGTTAATCCAGCCAACGTATCTGGACCCACCCACCTTAACTACAAAGACGCTAAGACGTTTCAAGAGCGGCAGTTAACAGGACACCGGCAAGGGTGTGGTGATAAGGCCCGAATCGTTGGGGGCGTTAAAAATAAAATATATAGTAAAATATTTAAAGCCTTCAAAAATATATTTTGTAATTTAATAAATATTAAGCTACTTAAAATCCTTCAAAAACTTATTTTTAAAGCCCTTTAAATACTTTAAAATCGTATTAGAAATTACTTGATATTATTATTTTACTTTAAAAACTTTTTTAAATATTTATTTGCTATTATAAAGCACTTAAACTCTACAAAATTTATTTTTCCTAATATTTAATATTTTATTTAAAATATTTCTAGATTTTTTACAACTTTCTAAATCAACCAAAAATACTTTTTTATAATTTCTAAAGCCTTTTTTATGACATTTTCCATGTCCATAAACGTTAAAACATTCTAATTTATTTTAAGACTTTTAAAAAAGAATTTAAAATATTATTTTTCTAATTAGAAACATTTGTAGTAATTATATATATTTTATAAATAATTTTTAATATTTCATTTTAATTAAAATTCCTTGTTTTTAAGACTCTGAATCCGCTCCTGGTTACTCCCATGCAGCGGGCCCATTACATTTCGACCCAAAGACGTTTATCTATTGCCCTTTTGCCTCCCATTGTAAGGGGTCTCCTCCCTGTGTGTGCGAGTGGAACGCCCTGGCAAAAAGGGAGTTCCCTTTAATTTTTCTCCTTTTTTTTTCTCCCTTTATTTTTTTCTAGGAGGGGGTGTTTTTGCTGAAATTGCGCTGTTTTGTGTGTGTGCTTTGTAATTTTTGAATTACGTTTGAATTTGCGGCTTAAACAGCCCACGCACGCCCACCGTTAAAGGAGACCGAAGGAGAGTCTGCATCTATTGTCAACTAACGCCTCGGGAAAATAAGAGAATATATATATTTAAAAAAAAAAAAAATATATATATATATATATATATATATGTATAAATAAATTCCCAGTAACAACAAAAAGAGCGGCGACGATGGTGGCAAGGAGTAAAGCAAATTTCAATTGCTGCTGTTAAAACGTTTTCACTTTGGATTTCCGGTTCTGGTTGCGCCCAAGGCGGCGGCACAAAATAATAGAAAATAAAAAACCAAGGGGAATCCTCTTGCTTTTATAGCCTTTGCAAAAAAAGGGGTTTGGTTTTCCCTAGGAGAGAGAGATGAATATCATTCCGGCGGAAGTTGCGCACTAGATTGCCACCAATTAGCATCTCTTGCTGTGAAGGACTCGGGGATATCATTACCACCACCATCACCACCACATCATCATCACCACATCATCATCATCATCCACATCATCATTATCATGGGCGTTCTGGCATTCCCCTGCTAATGAAGGGTTGCAAAAGAGTTGACTAAGTCGTCACTAATTGCCCAGGATTTTTGGCAGCTCTCGGGGAGCGCCAGCTAACTTTCCAGGACCTCAGCCTGCGGAATTGTAAGCGGTTTAGCGGTTTTGTTTCTATTTTTTTGTGCCTTCCCCCAATTTAATTAACAATTGGACAAAGTATAAAGCAAGGCATAGAAAAGTAAAGTAAAAGTTCTTTTTGTTGAAAAGTTGACTGGGCTGACTGGCTGACAACTCGCTGTCACATCAATGACCAGGCAAATTCTTTGGTTTTTTTTTTTGGAAGGAGGAGGTCCTGGCTTAGACAGACACGCTAATGCCAATCAAAAGCCAAAAGTAATCAGGTTCGGCACAAAAACCAAAACTCAACTTGAGTAAATTGTTTGTGTCAAATGCGCTGTGGTTCTTTGGTGGTGGAAAAACCTTCAAGCTCGGAAAATGCCAGAGCTCAGTGAGTGAAAATTGATTTGTAACGTTTAACATGGACATGGACATGGACATGGTTTCTGTGTGGGGGTGGAGAGGCAAAACCAGAGTCGTTTTTCGTCTATTAAATGTCATTCATCATTATGCTAAGTCAGGGTTTTTAGGGGGGAAGGAAAAGTCACCAGGACACACGAACACTTGGAGGAAAAATGAAAAAGATCTGGGGAAGGAAAAATTGGAAAATGCAGAATTTTCAGAGCATTTTTTTAATTTGAATTTTATAACAAATTTATTAATATTTATTTAATTTTAATTTAATTTATTTATATTTTTTGAATTTTAATTTTTATTATTTATTATTATTATTTCACTATTTTTTTAATAATTTATAACATTATATAATTTTTTAATGTTTTTTACGTTCCAATAAAAAATAATTAACAAATTCTTCAACTTTTACATCTGCTTTCTCTATTAATATTCCTCTTTTTTTCTTTTATTGACTTTCCCCCAGTGCAAAAGTTGAATCTCCTGCCTCCCCATGGCTGGTGGGTGCTGCTCTGTGGCCGGAAACCGGAACCACTTCAAAACTTGGCCAGAAAAGAGAATCAATCCCTCCTCCTGGGGCGACCTCTCTCTCTCTACTCCGCCGTGGGCAAACAGAAATTGGAAAATCTGTGCGCTAAAAACTCAAAGCTTTTTCGGACCATCATCATCAGGACAGGACAGGACAGCAGACTCGCAGCAGGATGCCATGGGGTTGGGGTTGGGTGTGGGTCCTGTCTTCCGACAGGAAATTGAAATCAATCCATCAATATGGATTACATGTTCGAGTTAGCTGCCAGCGGAGGTGCCAGTCATCAGCATTATTTCGCCCCAAGGGGGAAAGAGGGGGGAGGAGGAGCAGGCCAAAAGCCAAAAGGGCCAAAAGCATCATTAAGCTTTGCTGATGATACGCCCCCTGCTCTGTGTATTCTCTTCTTTTTTTTTCGAGTGTGTTTTTTGTCTTTTGTGTGACTTGCAATTTGACAAGCTGCAGGCTAATTAGTTCCGCACAGATTTGACAAAAATTAATGCCAGTAACTGTGTGTGGCAACTGTGTATCTGTATCTGTATCTGTGTATCTGTGTATCTGCCATCTGTAACTGCTAATCAAGCCGCATCCAGCAGATACAGCAGACAAATGAGTGCTCTGTTTTTGGGGTTTTCGGTTAGGGTTTCGCTTCGGTGCAAAGTTTTGATTGTCGGCTGGCCACAAAAGGCCATTTTGTGTTTTTTTTTTCTGGTTATTGCCAGTTTTCCAGCTTTTCCGCTTTTCTTTTAGTCAGCTTGTGTCCTGATTAGTTTGCTTTTTGATGTTAATTTTCTGGGTAAACGATGTGACTGTCTATATTTTAGTTGGAATACTGTAAACCTTTCTTATAAGTTCCTTTTTTTAGCTTAATAATAATCAAATTCTTATAAAAATCCTATGATATTTCTTTAACAATATCTAGATCCTTCTTAGTGTGCATTATCTTCACCTTTTTATAAACTATAAACTAGTGATACTCACTTCTTTTCCCGCTTGCCAGCACCAGTATCACGAAAGCCCTTTGCAAAGGGATTGTTATCGATTTTCAATTGAGTTATCTGCAAAGCAATCGATTAAAGGCGATAAATTACTTGATAACGATAACAATTTCAAGGGTTTGCCATAACTTACCTTCTCATTCTGATATGCAGTCACGGCAATGAACTCCGTCTCCTTGAAGACGTACGTGCGAAACGTGGAGTACGGCAGCTTGAGGATGTCATTGGCTCGCACCAGGTGGAATCGCGGTTGGTACTTGTGCATCGAGTTCAGGATGGTCTGCGGGGCGGAGAAGAAAAATAGAGGGGACACGGCGTAGATTAGTGGATATAGTCGCATCATATCATCATGGACGTGGCCAGTTTTTTATACTTTTTTGCAAAACCAACCAAACAAAACCGGGGCAAGGGACAACCAAGAAACTACTAAAGCTCACTCACAAAGGTAGGAAAAATTCACACACAGAGAGAAAAAATATATACTCGATATATCAGAAAATAATAAACTATAATATATATATTTTTTAGATTAAAACGTAAGCTAAGTGTTGCCTAAACTTTTTTTAAAAGTAATTTTTAAAAAACAAATCCCTAGAAATGTTTAAAAATCTTGTAGAAATTGTCTTTAAAATTCCCAAGTACAAATTCAGTGTGTTAAACAGTTTAAACTTAAAGGTAATGATGAGGCTTCTTAGCTAAGAACTAAAACTATTGCCAACTTTTAGACTTGTGCTGTCTTAAAAAGAATTACAAGTTTAAAAGATTATACAAATATATTTTTAAAATGGAAAATTATTTAAGCCAGGCTTATCTTTTTCTCCCTGTTTATTTTCTTGGCTAGGAAAAAATCCGAAAAAAAAGAACAAAAATACGGCGGCAACAATGCCATTGCCGCGCCGCTCACTTGCACGCCAGAGCAACATGGGCAACATTGGCGACATCAGCAACTTTGCAGCCGACGGACAACCAACGACCACCCACCAAAAGGCACGAGAACGAGTAGGAACAGGAGCAGGAGTAGGGAGCAGGGGCCAGAGCAGGAGCAGGAGCTGTGCAGGAGAAGCTCAGCACCACCGACAATACAAAGTTGTTGTCATAAAATATGAATCTGTCTGCGCGGCAGAGACAGAGAGACCTCCCAGGGCAAGGCCCGGCCCTCGTCTTCTATATCTATATATATATATACATTGCCTAAACCATTTCGATCCGCTGTTGCAGAAAGGAACACCTTTTTAATTACCATAACTCGTCGGCTTCGACTTCGACTTCGATTAAGCGACAAACGACCAGAGGCCTAGAGAGGCCCAGAGACCAGAGACAAGTTTCTGTGTGTGTGTGGAGACCCCACAAGCAGAGGCAGTAAGCAAACGCCATTTTGTAAGTGTAATTTGGAAAGAAAAAAAAATACAACAAAAAACACAAGAAATAAAAAAGAAAACTCCACAAAAAAAAGAAATAAAATAAAGCAAAGCGAGTAAAACAACACGAAGGAACACAGCAAGACAAAGAGAGCGAGCGAACAAAGCGAGACAGCCCCCAATGTGTATCTCGTCGTAGTACGAGTATCTGGTATCTTGTATCTGCGTTGGATTCGCACGCCTCTCGGCTCAGCCTCAGCCTCAGCCCCAGCCCCAGCCCCAGAGACCCCCACCAACAACAAGAGACCACAACAACACCACCAAGCACAGCCAAGACCAGACCACCAATGGCGACGACTCTCGCTGCTCCGCGGAAGGTGTGACTAATGCGAATGCTTTTCGGTGTGTAAATGTGGTGTTAGTGGGGGGGGGTTATATTTTCTTGATACTTTCTTTATAAAATACTTTAATTCAAGTGTATGTTAATAGAGAAATAAATTTATGTGTATATATTTAAATATATTTTTAGATGTGTATATATTTTTCTATAAATATTTTAAAATATACTTTTAAAAATATATATTTTTTATTTTTTTGTATATATATATATTTGCACATCTTTTTAAATTTATTTTTATATACATAATTTTATATATCATTTTTAAAGATACTTTGTTAATATATTTTTATATGCATTTTTTTTAAATATTTTTATATTTTCTTATATTTTTTCTTATATATTTTCTTATATATTTTAATATTTTTAATCTATATTTTTGTATATTTTCCTGTACAAATTATAACCTTTATCCTTGTTTTTTTTTTTTTTTGATTGAATTGATAAAATCATTTAAAAACAAGGCTTTTTGTTTGGCATGAGCTTTGTTTTGGGGAAAATCACAGAAAATCGAAAAATACATTTAATACCCCATAAATATGTAGGGTTTGTTGTGTTTAAAAACCAAAGAATGGGAAACGAGTTGATGCTGGTTCTGCTGCTGATTTTCCAACTGCAAAAAGCCTTTCACAAAAGTTAGGCCCCACCAAAATACCCAAACAAAAGAGCTGATTAATTGCTCCACCATTTTTGAGCTATAGAATTTAGAAAACCCAAGCCATGATTATCATTCATCAATCTAAAGCCTCAAAAATATATATATATAATAACCCCCTAGAGTCCATAAATCGTACAACGCCTTTTGCTTCTACTTAAAACGTCATTTGCTAATTTGCTTTAAATTTATTGACACATAAATTCATTTTGCAAAGCACGACAATCATCATAATTACCCCAAAGACATAGTATAGAGTGTGTGTGTGTCTAGAATTTATTGATAAAACAATTTGCATTATTACGTTAATTTTTCATTGCTCTGCCATGCAAGGCGCAAAATTGTCATTTAAAATGTCATTGTGGCGGCGATTTAAATGAAAATAACCGTGAAGATAGCCATAAAAAAAATACAACAACAAAAAAAGTACAAAATACAAAATATAAGCATGCAATGTTGCCTCTCTCTGCAGCCAGCAGCATTTTCCATTTTCCAAATGGGCATAAACAAGTCTAATTAGACATGAAGTGCGATTACACGGACGCCACGCAGTCGTCGGTCGCTTGTCGTCGCCAGTTGTCGTCACTCAAACAGGCAGCAACCAGATTGCATGTTGCTGTTGCTGCTGCTGTTGCTGCTGCTGCTGCTGCTGTTGCTGCTGCTGTCGTGATTGTATTTGCTGATTGAATTGATTGGCGAACAAAACCTCTTGGCAATTATGCATCGAAATATTGCCTAGATTTTTAGCACATATGATTGCGCATTGCTGCACGTAGCAATTGCTGTTTGCAGAGCCTAGCCTAGCCAAGGTAGCACAACGTGGCCAGTTAGCAGCTCCTGGCTCCCAGCACATTGACAAAGTACCCAAGCACAATCCAATACCCCAAGCAGTTAATCACTCTATATATCGCCCGGGTGACAACTGATTGAGCCGCCGGCGGTCGGTCAATACCAAAAATGGTGCGACAATTTCATGTTGCCTTTGGTGTTGTGTTTTGTGCCTCTCCTCAGCAGGAGTTGCAACCAGCCAGCCAGCCAGCCTGCAACACGTTTGTTTTTGGCTTTTGCGTGTTGATTGCTAAAAGGTAGAAAATCTCTGTGGCTGCTGTTGCTGCTGCTGTTGTTGCACACTCATTGTTGGCATATTATCACATAATTTAACTGATGATGGCACTGTCGCCCGTTGCCTTGTTTGCCACGGAAGAGCCTTGTCAGGTTGTGTTCGTTGTTGGCCGGGTTAATTGAATGATCACTCACACTTTGATTCGATTTCGCAGGCAACCAGGCGCAAGTTAATGGTGAGATTGCCAGTTAGATTCAATTGACTCCGGCGAGTCCAACTCCAACTGAAGTCAATTTAATTCCAAAAAGTCGGTTGGAAAGTTCAGCCACAAGGTGATCGTGAGTGAATGTCAGTTGGCTTTTAATCGTGTGAAGATCTGGCTTAAGAAAAGCCTTGAGAAATGTCAAAGAAAATAGGGGGAAAACTTAAGAGAATACGGGGAACATAATTATTATATAATATATCCTCAGCTAGGTTGAGTTCTCTAATGATTATTCCACATTTTAAGCCACCGATTAACCTATCAATACCATTAGGGATGTGTCTGTACACCCAAACCCATCGATAACATAAATTACTGTTTATTTAAGCACAAAACAAACCCAAAGATCGATGCTTGGCCTGATCGTGTGAAGAAGATCGATGCCAAATTGAAATTGTCAGCAAGTGATGATCAACAAAATGGTTTTGGCTGACCGGATTGATTGCTGGATAACTTGATTGCTTGATCACTTGATCACTTGATCACTTGATCGCTTGATGGCCCGATCAGTTCAGTGATCGCAAACGCGGACTCAATTGAAACGATCTGAGGCAAGTTCTAAAGGCACCGGCACCCGGCACCCAACTGACAATGATAAACTCCGATCAGCAACGGCTTCGATCATCTCCGGACTCAATTAGGCGACACAGCCGCCGCACAGCCATTTTCGGGGGCTACCTGTTGACCAATTATGGGCATAATTGAAGCGCCAAAGCCGCCGCGATGACTAAGCCCAAGTCTGAGTCCGACTCCGAGTCCAAGTTTTATTAAGCTGTATTAAGTATTTAAGCGATATGCATATTGACCTATCTATACCATAAATATCAACACGAAACTCTGATCGCAGTCGCAGTGGCCATGTCTTAATTAAGCCAGCGGATCAGGTAGACAAAATATAAAAAACACAAGAAAAACAAGAGAAAAGAGGAAAGATCCCCCATGCTGTCTCATATTAATCTGTAAATTATGCATAATTTTAATGAAGAAGCCAAAGGAGAAGAAAACAAAGCCACCCAGGCTCCCGGCAACCCAAGACTCTCTTCTGTCAAAACTCTCACGGAACTGCAGCAAAAGCAACAGCAGCTGCCGATCGAATCGAATTCGAATTCGTTGATTTCGGCATCCGCCAGAGAGAGAGAGAGAGAGCCCCAGTCAAAATTTATTTACAATTTATAACAATTCTTTTCGGGGGCCCATCTTATCGCCCGGTGGTCGTCGTCGACGTCGTCGGGAAAATGTTAAAAACGGATTTACATTTTAATGACAACACGAAGCGAAGGCCACAAGCTACCAGCGACCAGCTCCGATTGAGATACAGAGACTTTTGAAAGCCACACAAAAAAAAAAACAAAAAAAGAAAGACACAAAAAAAGAGTTGCAGCCAATTGCAAATTTGCTAAACAAAATGGGCGGCGTTTTGGGGCCTCAGAAAAGAAGGAGAAAAATCCCCAAGCAAGACATTTTCGGTTTCAACATTCGATATTCAATGAAATCTCGGCCGGCAGTCGCCTAATGATGCCTTTGCTGCCGTTTTGTTGTATGCAA